CGATCCCAATACGAAGTTCGCGAACATCAGGGATATCCATCGGGCTCAAATCGAAGCGGGTGAAAAGGAGGTTATCACGGCTGAATCCAGCGACTCTGAATGCCCTAGTGAGGCTGGCAGCTGTATTGTAGTGGGTGTGGTTGAGGATCAATAGTTAATAGTAATGAGGAGGTTGGGTTGTGATCCCATCGTTTTTGTGGTGCCAGAAACAGGGGGGTGCCAGGAAGTGGGTATGTTGACTTATCTCTTGCCTCAGAGCGAGCCAGAATGCAGAAAGTCGCAGACCGCTAAAATCGGCGGCGTTTTCTTGAGCGGCCAGCAGGATTCTAGTACCCATCAGATGGGACTCGAGGGTCATGGAACCGATATCGACTTCTTCCGTGAAGCGCAGGATTACAACAGCAGCCAGAAGGTTGTCGTCGACGACGGCCGTAGAGGACGAGAGCGCCGGGATCAACGAGCGAAGGCATATTTGATGGTATCGATCGGCAATGACTCCATCAACGCCAATTGTTCGACTAAGACGTTTTGCGGAAGCTGAAAACATCGCGTTCAATAGTGTCGGGCAGTAGACTGCTCTCTTCGGCACCACCTTGGCAAAGTGTCTATCGTTGTCGCACATGTCGAAGAGAGGTGCGAGGTTGTCGACGAAGTATCTGTAGAGGAAGGCTTCCTGACGGTCTTGAAGGGGCCATAGTGGTGTTTCGACGTAGGTTCTGTCGTTGCCGGTGGATTTGTCTTCTAGTTGGGGATCTATCGCTTCAAAGATGTGTTGGATGTTTGGAAAATCGAGTGTCAAATCTTCTCCAAGGTGAAGTAGATCCCATTGTATCGAGGCTCCAGTATGACCGCTCGATGCAGACGTGTCGTCGTGATGATGGAACTCTTTGGCTGGATTTTGTCTGGCATCTTGTGATGCAGAGCTCGTGTTTGGACTGGGTCGCAAGTGTCTTCGTTGCTTCCTGATGCCATCCCGGCCGTAGTGGGCATCATGTGAGGCGTGCGATTTTATTCCTGAGCTTCGAGAGTGAGACAGCAACTCTGGAACTGGAGAAGAAGCAGCAGATAGTAAAGCAAGGTAGTCCTGTGGACTTTCATGTCTATGTGGAGTCCCTAAGTAGGTATTCGCGCTGCCGTCGTCGGCCCCGGGCTCCCCGGTGACAACAGCATGGATGTTGACCACATCTTCGGTCTCGTCAACAAAGCTGAAAGAGCGGTTCGTTGTTCGTACCCAAGTTTGCTGTTCTGAGAAGCTGTACTCGCTTTTGGCAGCCCCAGTTCCTCTCTCTGGCTGGACACTAATCGCAGAAGCAGGGTTCAAGTCAGCTGGAGGGGCTCGGCTGAGGTATGATTACTGAACTTGGATCCACGAACCTAGGGTTCAGTGTGTGCCTAAAGCGTACACTATATCCACGGGTACATTCGACTCCAGACTTTCGACAATTGGAACACGTTGATCGACTTGAATCACCTGCACGTGGTCTCGGTTAGTGACAAGCATGGACCGCAATCAAGGAAATATTCGCCGAGTTTGAGATACGGCGCCAAAGGGCCTCAGCCACGGACAAATTCCCGGTGGGATGGTACAGATACCGGCGGGAGGGCAAGGAGCCGCAAAATGAATAATCGGGTCGCTTACATTTGAGGTGTCTAGCGTGGAGAACCAAACATGTTGTTAGAATAGGCATTCATGACAGCTGAGAAAGACCGGGTTTGGAAGGCGTGCGGGAACAATCGTGAACCATGAGCCTTGCCAGGTCCATCTCGCCGGAATACACAACTTTCGGAATCGAAACTTACCTTAACCTGCAGATCTACAACAGCACGCGTGTCAACAAAACTGTTCCTGGTGGCATCACAAACCGCAGATGGCTCCATCGGGTAAAAACTGTGATCCTACGCCACGCAGACATGGACATGTTCGCCGGCCCTAAGACAGACGAGGGGACGCGACGGGGTTGAGGGAAGTGACAGAATTGGAAAGAATACTGACGTTACACGGATTTGTCCGGGTCTGTACTCGGTTCATATTCTGGACCCGCCGCGCACTGGACTTGTCCAGCGTCGATTATGTGCGCTGATACGTGTGGTTTCCGCGCAGACAGTGGCATACAACAAAACCAGCCGGTGGGCAGAGATTTCCTGGGCCTTGATTTGACGGTTCATAGGGGGGAGAAAGACTCAAAACGGTATTGTGTGAGAGTGGTGAGTTGGTGTCGGGGGCGCTGGGGGGGACGAGAAACGTAGAACGGTGACTGACGAGTACTGCTACAACGGCTGCTTTCCAGGTTGGCAACTTGCAACAATGGCCTACTGACATTGGATTTAGGTAAACCGGCCAAAGCGGGAAAGTCGTTGGGTTTTGGCGGTAGGCGGAAGACATGGGAGACGATGAAGTGGACATGGATGAAAGCAGGTCAAATAGGAAACGCGAGCGAAATAAGACCGACTTGCCTATTTGAAACTGGATAGGCAACTTTCCCCCGCACGCGCCCTGCATACACCGCTAAGAACTCCACCAGCGCTGTACGGCACCGGCACTAGACTAACTCGCCCTCGTGGTGATGAGATGGAGGTTTCTACACATACCCCTAGGCTGGTTTGAACTTCCGGATGGATACCGGGCTGGGACAAGAGTCCCGCGGGATACGACTTATCTTGTTCATTACACGAATCTGGGGAAAATCCGGGGGAAGCTTCAATGGCTGGGCTTGTCTAGACTTCGACTTGGCTTGGCACTTCTACCGACATGGATGAAGGACTAAGGTATTTCTCGGTGTTTGCCATCCTACGATTGGTTCACACAGTATCGTGACCTTCCATCTCCCTCGAGATCAGCCAACCTGCGCGAAGTAGGGTGCCATTGAAGATAACTCGCGTAGAGCTTTCTACTTTCTTACCAGCTAATTGGGCCCTCGACAAAGTCTAGCAAGACGCCACTGATGAATCAACACCTTACTCGGGGCATTCCTATTGCTTCACTGCACGCCCTCAGGTCCTCACTCCGACTGCTGATATAAAGACTTCACTCTACCCCAGGTCTTCCCCAGATTATCACAGCATTCTACGGAGTACTGCCCCTCAAGCCAATTGGGGCCTTTCCTCCTTCTCTCGTAGTCATAATTGCCTATTTTTGCCATCCCCATTCAAACACAAAACAACTCATACCTTGACTCGGCCACTTGTACGCAACGAACCGCCATTATGGAGACCAAAAACTTCAAAGAATTGACCCAGCACAAGGAAACCGTAGCTGACGGCTCCTCTGAGATTCAAGTCAGCCTTGATGGGCTCGACTCTATCGAACAGACCCAGACGGGCAAGTTCTCATGGCTAGTTTCCATCACCGCGGCCATCGGCGGCATGCTCTTCGGCTACGATACCGGCATCATATCAGCCGTGTTGGTTTACATCGACAATGATCTCGGGCACACCCTCTCCTCGTCTGAAAAGGAGCTCATCACGTCTATCACCTCCGGTGGCGCCTTCATCGGTGCCATCTTTGCGGGAGCCACGGCAGACCGCTTCGGGCGCAAGATTGCCATCTACGTCGGCAGCTTTCTGTTCACTGCCGGCGCTATCATTCAAGCTGCCGCCAAGTCGCTGGCCTTGATGACCGTCGGTCGTCTGGTCGTTGGGTTTGGCGTCGGCTCCGCAGCCATGATCATTCCGATGTATGTCACAATAGTATCAAATGGCTCAAGATTCGATGGTAATGGACCCTCGCTAACATGGAAACCAGGTACATTGCCGAGCTGTCCCCTGCCAAATACCGCGGTCGTATGATTGGTCTTGACAACATGTGCATCACGGGCGGCCAACTAGTCAGCTATGGCGTCGGTGCCGGCTTCGCGCACGTACAAGGCGGGTGGCGTTACATGGTTGGCGGCGGCGCGATTCCAGCCATCATTCTGGCGTGCATGCTGCCCTTCTGCCCAGAGTCGCCAAGACAGCTGATTTACCACGGCAAGGAACAAGAGGCCGAGAAGGTTATTCGAAAGATTTTCCCCAATGGAACGGACGAGCAAGTCCGGATGAAAGTCCGTCACATCACCATCCACGTCGAAGAGGCCAAGAACATGAACGCCGGAAAGTCGCAATGGTGGGTGCTCAAGCAGCTCTATGTTGTCCCAGCGAACCTCCGCGCCCTGATTGCGGCGTGTGGACTCATGGCCATTAGCCAGCTTAGCGGTTTTAACTCGCTCATGTATTTCTCGCCGACCGTAAGTCAAGTTTCCAAGTCCCTAATTCCTTGAAAAGAGTATAGATTAATAGCAAACCAGATTTTCTCCCTTGTTGGATTCAGTAACCCTGTGGCAGTTGGCACTATCATTGCCGGCACCAACTTCATCTTTACGCTTGTCAACCTGTTACTCGTAGACCGAGTCGGTCGTCGCAGGATTTTACTCTGCACAGTGCAGTTTATGGGTCTATTCCTGGTTGTGGCCGCGATCGCCTTTAAATGGATCCCCGTTAACCATGATCTATCCCTTACAGAGGGGGCTACAGTTGGACCGCCGGCCATCATCGTTCTCGTGAGCATGGTCTTCTTTGTCGGATTCTACTCTTCAGGTATTGGCAACACAGCCTGGCTGAGCAGCGAGTTCTTCCCGATGGAGGTGCGCGCCATGGGCACCATGATGCTGACGATGAGCTGCTGGGGTTCCAACATTATCGTTGCCTCCACCTTCTTGACACAGATGGAAAACACCACACCCTCTGGAACGTTTGGATTCTATGCAGCCATCTGTGTGCTCGGGTGGGTCTCGATCTATTTCTGCTACCCCGAGGTCAAGAACATGACGCTTGAGGATATTCGCGAGGTATTCAGCCACGGGTTCGGTGTAAAACGGGCCAGGGAGCTTCAGAAGCAGATGAAGGCTGATCGAAAGATGGCATCGGTTTCGGATGAAAACGTCAAGGTGTAGATAGAGCTGACAGAGTTTGGGGCTTGCGTCTGCAGAAGGTCGAAGCGACGGTTGTTCTTGGAGTCATTACGTTTTGAGATGGTTTAGACGGTAACGTGGTGAGTCCGAAGGCCTGTGACTTGTACTCCTGCAGAGCCCGAAAGCTTAAAGTTAAATGGCGGATAGAAAGAATAAAGGCTAGCCACCCACCTACCGATGGAGAAAGTCAAAGTGTCTACGCATCTGTTGTGTTATTGGCCGGGGCCTTGGACCAAATGAGATGAACGAAAGTTTTGCGACGATATGGTCTCCAGCGGTATCCTGAATTCGAGTAGTATGTTCATGAAGAATGAAGAAGGGAGTAAAGCACGCTGGGTGGGGGGGCGGAATTCAACCAGCAAGTATCAAGTGACAGCCAGGCTGAGAGAGACCTTTGGTCAGGGAGATTTTTGTCGGAATCACTACATCATCGTTGGCGGTCTAGTTATCTTTAATCCGGTCCTGTGAGAGACCTCAAGCCACTGTAATATCACTTCCAAGGTCGGGCTAGATGATCCATGAGTCCAAGATCTACAATGTTCCGCCCTACCTCTAGCGACAGTATCACTCTAGTGTCCGCTGCCGGCACGTGTTTGGGGGCGGGCGAACAGGGGTTCCTCTTTGCTCTAGGCGGAAGCTACCCAGAGTAGAAGACTTACCTCTTAGGGTGTGTACATGTAGACCTCCTTCGGCTGCAGTTCCGTAGTCTCAAACGATTTATGCCACAGTTCCAGACATTTACGCAATGCTCCACCAATCTTACGCGAGCTCAAAGCTGGTTGCCAGGTAGGAGAACTCTGTCATGCACTCACGGCAAGCCATGCCGACTGTAGACCGGAGAGGTTTGCCGTCGTATTTCATACCTTAGCCTCTCGTAGTCTTAGGAAATCACGGGTACCACCCCAATCCATTTCACAAGAGGGAATTAGAAGCAAGCATAAAGATTGATGTGCCCTGCCTGATGTGATCAACATACTACCTAAGCCTCTTGAACGCAAAGGATCGAAGAAGGGTCTTCATTTCTTAGAATCAGATCCATAATTCAGGGGTATTCACCGACCTGAAGCTACTAGGCATTTACATCATTCAGTTCAGGATGGTTCGTTCGATATGCAGAACCCAGGCGCCTCGAGCCGAGTTCTGTAAGGCTTGGCTCTAGCATGGTTGTCGACGACGAAATTCGACCCTCTGTGCCCAAATCCACCTTGCAAGAAAAACGATACGTTGTTATTTTCCATTCAAAGCGGCCTTGAACCAAGCCAAATCCGAGATAGTCACGAGTGAAACACCTGCCTCATGGCTGGAAATATTCATCTTTAGACTGAGGTGGTCATCACAGGTAGCTTTGCCCCGAGGCTGATTGAGACAGCGTACAGAGCATGCCAAACAGGGATAGACATCAGTTATATCCTGCCGAGATTGGATCCATCGTCGACGCAACTCTTTGGAATATCAAAGCTTCCAGCAGGCGAAGTACTGTGGGATCTCAGGATCGGGGCACTTTCCAAGGGCTTTGTGGTCTTGATACAATAGTGGATAAGGATTCCCATAGTTT